TACTGGAAGGGGCTCTGAGTTCTCATGATTTGCCCTTAGTAAAGCCATGTTGGCTGTCACCCATCACCTCATTTTCCATGTGCCTTAGCACAGTTTCCAGGAGGATCTGCTCCATGCTCTTGCTGGGCACTGAGGTGAGACTTACCAGCCTGTAATTCCCTGGGTCTTCCTTATTCCCCTTTTTAGAAAAGGGGGGTTATGTTTCCCCTTTTGCACTCCATGAGAACTCCACTGGACTGCCATAACTTCTCAAATATGATGGATAGTGGCCAAGCCACTTTCTCTGCCAGTTCCCTCTGGACCCATGGGTGCATCTCGTTAGGTCCCATGGACTTGTGCCCCTTCAGGTCCCTTAGACCCTCTCGACCCTGATCCTCTTCCACGGTGGGCCGTTTTTCCTTCTCCCACTCCTGCCTTTGCCTCCTGTGGCTCGGGTGCTATGGCTGGAGCACTTGCCATGAAGGTTGAGACAAACACCACTGCATACCCCAGGCTTCTCCTTGTCCTGGGGAACCAGGTCTCTCCTTTCCTTCTGGAGAGGGCCCGCATTTTCCCTACTCTTCCTTTTATCACTGGTGTACCTGTAGAGGCTTTGCTTTTTGCCCTTGACGTCCCTGGCCAGATTTAATTCTATCAGGCTTTAGCTTTCCTAACCTGATCCCTGTCTGCTCTGACAATCTCTTCTCCAAGGCTGCCTGTCTTTTCCTAGTTGGTAGGAAAGGAAAGAAATCCAAGCAACCTCTCACAGAAGAAGCTGTGACTCAAAGCAGGAGCAGTAGGTACTTCAGCAATGTTTCTCCATTCCCTGCTACCTTATGGAAGGGGGTGGGCAGTCGTCAGCTGCAGTGGCTTTAAAATGAAAAAGAGGAGGAGGGGCTGGGGTACAGCCCAGCAGGTTTCAGGGAGCATGGAAGGTACTGCTGTGTGACTCCTGCCTGGTGCAGGGGGATCTGGCCAGGTACGGGTGCGAGCAGGAGGCTCGAGTCTCACAGATCTCAGACAGCTGGAGCCAGTGACACAGAGACAGAGTCGGGCTGTCCCCTGCCCTGGGAGACACACTTGACCATTGATTATTGTAAAAGACTCATAATATAGCAAGAGCTTTATGGCCAGTGTCACGTCATTTGCTATTTAAGTTTTGTTGCCATATTTACTTTTATTTTGCAATAAATATTTTGCAAAACCAACACTGCGGGGCTGTGCTAATGCACATGTGCCTGGCAGCCTCTCCATGGTGCCTCTGTGTCCTCAGCCATGCTGGATCAGCAGGGATCCCCTGGCATGGGCTGGCTCACCCCGCTGGGGTCCTTGTCCTCACCACCTCCTGCTGGCAGACACGGCCCCTCTGCCGCACGAGCAGAGCAGCAGGGTGGAGGCACGAGTGCCAGAGACAGCGGTGACAGCCTGACCTCTGCAACTGAACCACAGGTTGTCACCACAGCTGACTGCCTACAGCTCCCCCTCTGCCTCCGGACACCGGCGACAAATACCAGCTCTGCATACGGCTGTGCCATCTCAGGCATGTGCTCTTTGCAGGAGGCACAGCCCCTGAGTTACTGGCAGTGGGAGGCCTCACAATGGTGGAAAACTGCAGGTAAAGTGACAGGTGAGGTTTGGTGTGAATAAACACAATCCAGAGGGGTAACGAGAGCTTTACCCCAGGGAAGAGCTCTCTGGAGTTAAGCCCGAGCTCTTCACAGCCATCACCAGCACCCGGAAAAGTGCACAAAAACAAGTTTGGCCTCAGCAAAGGGAAGCTCAGTCTGGCCTTAAGAATTTAGGAGTGACCATGGGGAAAAAACCTCCTGAGGAATTACTCTTTAGGCACTGCATATCAATGATTAAAGATCCTACATCTGTTCTCACTTACACTGTGCTGGCAGAACTCCAGCAGCATCAGCCCAGTGAACTAATTGTCTTCTCCTTAAGTGGGATCAAAGTAAAGCTGTGGCTCCAACAGGTGTTAACATCTGTGCTTTCAGCAGAACTTAAGCAAGAATTCCTAAGGATTTGATTCATTTTCCCATAGTTCAGCAACAATTATAGTGGAAGATAATTTTCTTACTGACAATTGGGGCATAAGAAGTTTCCTGTGTAAAATAAAACTCTTAAGCGTGCCTCTGATTATAGCAGGAGTAATGAAATTAATTACTCCAGTGTTGCCTATAACCTACATTAGATAGGCTAACACACATTATCATAAGGTCAGTCCACACCCCAGAGTTCTGAAGGAATGGCCATTTTTTGTTAGATCTCACCTCAAAAAAACCCAACCCAACACCCAACATCTTTTCTGACTGAAACTGAGTTTAGCACAAGGAATACCTCAGCTGGCACTGCCAAGAAGTGACCTGTTTCCTCTCAGGTCACTGCGTGGACAGGTGACATTCATTCCAGCACTCCATCAGGTTTCAGGTTTTCTTCCTGAGGCAACTGATACGACTTCCCAAGAGTGATGTTCAAGAGCCAGAGGCAGGAGGGATCTGCAGGGCACCAGCCCCTTGCCAAGGGAATGGCAGCACATCAGTAAATGTGTGACAGTTCCTCAAACATTCAGAAAAAGTTACTTAGGCCATCCTGGTTCTCTGAACAGAACTGACCACAGTAAAGCTCCTGACCCTGAAAGGGATGGTGAAGCGTGTCCGGAGAGAGCTCTGCCCAGGGGCTGCAGCAGGCAGACCCCCATGCTGGGGCAGACCTCTGTGCTGGGACAGACCCCCTTGGCCAGGGTATGGGGCCTGGCAGCGCCTTGGCTGCTCTCCAGTCCACCAGGAGTGTCAGCTATGGAAGGCAATAACCAGGGAGCAGGAGCTTTGCCTGGGAAACAGCTCTTCTGTTGCTACAGTTCTCCCTAACAACTTATTTCCGCTTCAAACACAAAATGCAAGTTTCATTTGGGACTGATGAGTTTATAGCAAGGGTACAGCACAACCCGAGGGGGCCCTGCCCATGGCTGTCTCTGGCCCTGTGCTGCCAGGACAGGTGCTCCATTCCACCGTGCAGCCAGACCCGAGGGCTGTGCCGCCCCCAGGGAGCCAGGGAAGTGATCTCCCAGTGCCACAGGGAGCTCTTAGCACTGCCACCAACTGAGCCGCTGATACCCCTGGCTACACCCCAACATACTCCTTCCGAACAAGGAGTGAGGCTGACTTACTCTGCTGGGGGAACGCACGTGCTGGTAAGACACTGCGGGTTCTCACACAGAGCACAGGTAGGGTAGCACACACCTGCTGTCCAGAGGGGAATCCAAACCTGCCTGGGTTTGCACAAGACGTTTTTCTCTTTCGTTCTTCGAGTTGTACGTGCAGATTCCTTGGAGGGGTTCGAAAGCGCCCAGTCCTACGGGAGACATCAGAACAGGTGTGTGACAAGCGTGTGACACAGGTGTCTGGAATCCGCTCGGGCAGGTGCTCCGGGTGCGGCCAGCTCAGCTCCCGGCTCCTGCCAGCGGCTGCGGCTCCGGGGCAGGACGAGCACCGGCACCAGGGGACACCGCAGCCCCGGGGGGGGGGGGACACAGCGCCGTAAGCCCCGCCGAGGAGGGCAGGGGCGCCGCGGCCCCGTGCGGAGCGGCAGCGCCGCGGGGCAGCCCGGGCCGGCACTGGGGCGGAGCCGCCGCGCTCGTCCCGGCGGCCCCCGCGCCCCACGCGTCACCCGGGAGACGGCGCCGCAGCCGGCCGGGCATGGCGGGGCCGGGCGAGGGACCGGGCGATGGACCGGGCGATGGTCCGGGCGATGGACCGGGCGATGTGCCGGGCGATGGTCCGGGCGATGGTCCGGGCGATGGACCGGGCGATGTGCCGGGCGATGTGCCGGGCGATGTGCCGGGCGATGGACCGGGCGGGTTCCCCCCGCCCCGGCTCCCCGAAGAGGATGCGGCTCCGCGCCCCGCGGGCCTGCCCGCTCTCCTGGCCTACAGACGCGAGTCCTCGCGGGCACTCGCGCACCTCGAGGTCGGGCCGGGCACTCCCCTCTGTCTCATTCCCACCGTGGAACCAAGGCCCTTTGCCGAGCGGGCGGAGCAGCCCCTTCGTGACAGGGTTGTTCTGTGCGAGGCTGTTGGAACGGGCTGGTTGTGCACACCTGGGCACCGAGAGGCTGCACAGCTTCTTTCCACTGCCGCGTCCTCTGCTAAGAATTTCCCAGCAGGTTTTTGCCTTTGGCTAAAACAGATACAAAATACAGATAAATAGGTACAGTCACAGAACACAAGCAGGGTACAGAGTTTTCTGTAACTCTTAGCAGAGCAGAGTCACTAAAGAGTTAATCCAAGGCACGAGATTGGGAGCAAGGGAACTTTCAGGATATCCAGTATCCATCCTCAAAATACACCCTGCAGCCACCCTGCTTTGTATCTGGTCAGATGTGACCAGCCCTGTGTCACTGGTTCCTCAGAAACTTCCCCACGACTGCAGCCATCAGAAGCTTTTTCTCTCCAAAACCCACACGATGTGTTTGAAAGGGTTACCACGTCTGAATCCTCAGCTACAGCACTCTGCTCTCAGCTTTCCCAGGAAGGAGTAAGGCTAATAAGTACCAGAGTAATTCGCTTTGGGGTCATTTATTTATTTATTTACCACACATCTGCTTTTCTTTTTGGTGGTTTCCTGAACTCAATATTTTGAGTTAAATCATTCCAAGATATCCCAGACACAGGTCAGTTGTAACCACCCTTGGGTGCTTTGTCATGTTGCATTTTGAGCACAGCCCTCTTTCCTCACACTAACGGGGGGATTTGGGGGCTGGTACCCCATGTCCCTCCTCCCCTCTTCCGTGTCACTGCAGGCAGAGGAGGACACTGAGCCGAGGTGTGAGTACTGTGGCAGCCTGCTGAGGCCGTTCCCTTTGCCCGAGGATGTCCCTTTCTCCAAGGACATGGAATATGTAAGCTGGGGAAGGATGAGCAGGGGTTTGCGGTGGAACGGCTGCACTCAAGGCTCCGTTCTCCCACCTTGCAGAGATTCTGTTGCAAGAGCTACCGAGACCTCTACGAATTCATCATGAAGGAGAGGAAGAGGCTCAGGGATGCCTGCAGCGCTCCCAGAGCTGTCAGCACCCACGAATACCACGGCTCTGAAGCCTATCAGCTGCAGTCAAAGGAGCAAGAGAACCAGAGGTACTGGGAGAACTGGGGATCAGGTATAAGGAACAACAGGCAACTCCAAGGGAAAAGGAGCATTAAGAAACTGCAGGGAGAGGGAATGAAAGAAGAAAAACCTTTGTTTCAGGTACCACGAGCTCGGATTCTCTCCAGTCCCCCCTGGCTCCTCTGAAGCCAGACTGCACAAGGAGGTGACAAGGTATGTGCTGGGTGAAGTGCTAATTCCAGTGCTGACAGATGAAATATCTAGAGACAGACAGAGACAAGAACACAAACACAGCTCTGGGAAGGGACAGTATTTGGGTGTAGCTTTTACCTCAGGCACTGAAACAAAGCTGGAGTTTATATTTCTGTTTTGCTCCATAAACTGTGGCATATGTTTGGATTCCAGTTTCTAGAGTCACAAGAACTCTGGAAGCTCTTGGCCCAAAGCTTGTGCAAGTGTCTGAGGCTCCAGTACAGGCTCAAGGAAAAGTCAACCAGTACACCTGGAAGTAAATGGTTGGTTTCCTTGAAGATCCTTCCCAGTCTGAGAGTGCAAGGGCCTCCTACTGTATACAGAGCACACACCAGACCACTGTCACAGATTTATAGGAAGCTACATAAGAATAGGGAAAATATTCCTGGAGATGAGCTGTTTTCTTGATCCTGTGGACAGCTCTCCTCTTTCACATAAAATCTTTATCCAAACCTGATTACAATGTTCAGCTCTCCTGCCAGCAGAACTGATGCCACTGCAATGGCAGTCTGTTCACTGGAATCTCTGTGGGAGCAATTCTTTTCTGCTGAGATATGAGTATTTTGGTGATACTCTGCTGCCTCTAACTATTACTTGCAATTGTGTGAGTGGAGAGAAAAACAGGTTCAGAAACTTGTGTTCCTAAGGCAGGGATATCCAGTACTTCCAGCCTTCCAAACAGGACACATGAAATGTCTGTGAGGAACACTTGTGTTTTCCAGGCAGCAGGAGAGCCACCTGTCTAGAGGGTCGCCTGTCCTGTCTTTAGAGCCAACTGCCACTGAAGGTGAGTTAGCATTTCCTTATGGATTTATTTGTCCATTTATCACAACAATGTATTCAGTGGAATTGCTGGTCTCTAACTGAACAGGAGGATTTTATAGAGCACTGTGTTTGTTCGTTGTCAGGTGTGCAATCCCATTAAATTAGATACAGATCCAGCCGAATTAAATCATCCCTCCCAGGAGAACACAAAAGCATGCATGTCCCCCTTGCACAGACAGGGTCTCCTTGCCATGACTTTCAGTATTTATATGTGAAGTTTCCAGCTGAGGTGCACAGAAGAGAGAAGGACAAGTTGGCAAAGCCAAGCCCTTGGGAGGTAGGAACTGCCAGAATGAGGGTGATCCCCTTTTGCCTGATCAGGTGGATACCCACCACTTCCTAGCCCAGGCTGGGGGTGACTGAGCAGCCTTTGGGTCTAGCTCTAAAACCAGGGTTTGACTAAGAACAGGTGAACCAGAGTTACAAATGGGCATGTTTTCACAGAGGATGGCAGGGCACTGAGGCTTCTGCACTACCAGGGCTATCAGATTGTCAGTTCCAGCGCATGGGACAAAAGGCTATCCCAAAAAGTCGCTCTTTACACAGATATGTGTATACGCATAAGTGAAAAAACAACATCTTTTATCATAAGCCTGTTCTCTCCTGTTCTGAAATAGCTGAGCACTTTGGGCTGCCCTTGTTAGAAAATACCTCGAGACAGACTCCCAGGATGAAGCATTTCAGCCAGGAATTCCCACATCAGCAGAGGTGTTGGGCAGCCTGTGGTGGGCACTGCCAGCCCTCCCTGCTACACACAAGCCCTCCCTGTGCTCTCCAGGTTCACACCAAGATGGAAGCACATCACCCAAGAGCAGGATGCTGATGCCTGCTGGAAGTGTAGCCAAGACGGAGGAGGAGCCCGAGCTCAAGCCTGAGCCTGAGCACAAGGAGGAGCCTGAGGAAGAGCCCAAGCACAAGCCCAAGCCCAAAGAGGAGTCTGAGCCCAAGAAGGAGCCTGAGGAGGAGCCCAAGCCTGAACCCAAGGAGGAGCCCAGGCCTGGGCCCAATCTTGGGCCCGAGTCTGAGTCTGAGCCCGAGAAGGAGACCAAGCCCAAGCTCAAGGAGGAGCCTGGGACCGAGCTCAGGCCCAAGACCAAGAAGGAGCACAAGCCTGAGCTCGAGCCCGAGAAGGAGCCCAAGCCCAAGCTTGAGCCCGAGAAGGAGCCCAAGCCTGAGCTTGAGGAGCAGCCTAAACTTGGGCTTGAGGAGCAGCCTAAACCTGAGCTTGAGGAGCAGCCTAAACCTGAGCTCGAGGAGCAGCCTAAACCTGAGCTTGAGGAGCAGCCTAAACCTGAGCTCGAGGAGCAGCCCGAGCTCGAGGAGCAGCCCAAGCTCGAGCTTGAAGAGGAGCTCAAGCTCGAGCTTGGGGAGGAGCAGCCCGAGCTCAAGGAGCAGCCTGTGTCCTGCCGTGTCACCCGCTCTGGTTTCAGGCCCCTGGGGAGGAAGGCAGGTACCTGCGGCCGACAGCGACGGGTGCACCTTGAATGTGTCCATGCTCTGAGCGGCCAGAGCCTGGCACTGCCCAGCTTCACAGGCAGCTGTGCCAGACTGCTCTCATCCGTTTTATATGTCTTATCTTAGGGGGGGAAGAGTAAATTAGTGCAAAAGTACTACAAAAATGGAAGGAAATTCCTTACCATGTTCCCGGATGGAACCTCACAGTTATTGTATCCTTTCAGGGTTCACTTACCCTCATTAGTCCAGGGGTATAACTAATTTTAAATGTGTGCCAGTTCACTTTATCATGAACAACCCAGCTCACCACTCCCACTCACTCTGAGGAGCAGCAGCAGTGACACCTGACACAGCTCCTGGGCTGTTTCCCAGAGCAGGCAGCAGCTCTGATGAGGGACGGGTACTTGCATCCAGCACCCAGCCTAGCAGTCAGACCCCACTCCCAAGCTCTGGCCACCCATGGAAGGGCCCTGCTGACCCTGGGGGCTCCCAAAGCACTCAGTGCTATCCTGACCCTAGGGACAAACCAGCAGAGTCCCACCAGCACATGGCAGATATGTTTGTCCTGCAGGCAGTGCCTCAGAGGAGCACAGACAGCCTGGGATTACCACTGTGAGTCACTACTGTCTGAAGCAAGAAAACAGGGCACTTCCACCAAAGGACCCTACATTTTAAGTCACCCACGTTGTTTTTCATAGCTGTGGCTGACTTCTTTCTGACCCAGGGAGGTATGGAAGTGTACCTGAGCTTTACCACCAAAGCAAAACATTGGCAGGTGACACTGGCAGCACACCTTTAACACGTCAGATTTTATACTCCCACCTAGTGCCCTGAAGTATTTAGGGTATAATAACAGCAAAGTAAGAGGTTACAAACACCTTACCTGGCAGAAGCTATCCATCTGGAAACCTGGCCATCATGGTTACACGAGAGGGAGACCAGATGATTTGCACAGTACAGGAAGATGAGCCGAGGACCGCCAAAATCCGCGCCTTGTTCCAGTCCGACGGCAGGAGCACGTGCTATTACCCCAACGGAGACGAGTGGTGCGTTCAGCAGCTGTGCTCTCCACTGGCTTTGCAAAGGCCACAAAGGGTATTTTTAATAGCATCCAAAAATTAACAGACTTCCACTTCCCTCTCTTTTAGGATAAACATGAGTATCCAGGGAGGGCAGTATTTGGACCAAGCAGGCAGCAGGGTGAAAAGGTGGCTGTGGCCAAAGATGTCACCAGGACTCCATGTCCCACTGAGCCCCATCTTCATCTCCCTGAACCGGCATGTGGGGGTCAGGATTCTGGCCCAGGACAAGATCATCGTCTCCTTCCTTGCCATGGGGCGACAGGCAAAATTCAACATGGGAACCAAAGTGCAGGTATCTCTCCATGCAGAGCTGCTTCCCACACGGGGAGTGGGGCAGCCAGGGAAGCTCTTCTCCATAGGGAAGCATGCTAATTCCCATGTTGCCCCATGCTCCTGCCCCTCAAAAAACAAGCAGTGGAGCTGTACCCCTGCCAGTCCCATGCAGACAGGGCACCTGCCAGCCACAGCTCTCTGCAAGGAGTCACCCTGGCTCTGCCACAGGGAGAAGAGCTGTGGTCCAAGTGGGCAGGGTCCATGGCAACTCCTTTCCTCCAGAAGCTCCTGTCACAGGGACTGGGAGGGGTCCCAGGCTGCAGTGGCTCTACTGACATGTTCCCTCCACTCCACAGGTCGGTGCTGCCGGCCAGCCGCCTGTCCCGGCACGGCTGGGCAGAGACGAGCTCCTGCTGCTTGCCTTCCGGGTGAGGATCCTGCAGCTCTTCGACAGGATGCGGGGATGCATCAGCTTTCCTTCCAGTGAGCAGTGGAACAAAATGCAGCCTCCTGCATACGTGCTGACCCAGGCTGCGAAGATCCTGGAGCTCTGCGCTGCCGCGGACATCAGCGAGGAGCTGCGCAGCTCCATCCGGGCGATAGTAAACGCACAGCAGCTCTGAGCAGCACGTGTGTGGTGTGAAGCACAGAGGCTCCCCAGCCACGGTACCTGTACACACTCAGCAAGGGCTCACCTCGGCCCTGCCCTGGTGTGGAGCAAAGGGCAGCCCGCAGTGATCCCCATAGCCCCTGGTGGTCTCACCTAGGACCACACTGAGCTCACCTTGGAAATGGAGGCACGAGGGGGCTTTGCTCAGGTCACCACACAGGCACCACTCTGCTGCTCCTGATGAGGTGGCACCAGCAGGATGCCCAGGTGTCCCTGGTACTAGTGCTGGTGGCAGCTCAGCTGCTGGTACAAGACAAGGTGGCTCCCTGCGCAGAGAGGGACAAATGCCCACCAAGTACCCAAGGCACCTACGCTCGGCCCCAAGGAGCACCACCTGCAGCCCGGGACAAGGTCTTGTTAAAGCACTGCAAACACCAAGCCCTCAGCAGGCATTTAGAGGCCCCCGGGCCACAGGGGCTGCAGCTGGCAGTGGGGAAACCTCCCAGCCCCTCAGAGCTGCCTGAGACCTGGGGTTCACTTGGCCAGCTTCCCCACGGTGGCCACACCTGAGCTGTGGCACTGCCCAAAGAACAAAGCCAAGCCCCGTTTGCCCCCCCAGCACACTGAAGTTCTCAGGGGGAGGGGAGGGAGGGGCTTACACATGACAGGCACAAGCTCAGTGACTTTGGAAAGTTGGCATTTTATGCGATTTTTCAATTGCAATTCCAAGAATGTCCATCAGTGACAAACAAGGTACTTCACACAGGAAATGGGAACTCTTTTATTTCAATTAATGTTCTTGGGTTCTATTCAGGACAGCAGGAAGGCCCAGCTCATCTTTCCAGCCAAGGAGAACCTCTGGAGCTGGCCCACATGATTAAAGAGCAGCTGATCTTACTTTTCACTGAAGTCACCAAATGATGTAACTACTCTGCATGTAATTTTGCTTATATAATTCAATATATAATGCACTGTTCTACTCTGTCATAGATTTTGAAAAATATACAAACCTGTTTTAACCACATTAGAGAGAATTCATAGACAGCTGTCAATTACTCAACAGTTTAGGACAGTATCAGACACTCCTATAACTTCATTTTAAACTACAAAAAGAACATAAATTCATATAAAATACAACAGATTAAACAAACTTTTCTTTTTCCAAGGAAAATTAGGTATCAACTCAATCTGCCATTGTGTGAAACATGAATATAAAATAAGTTACCATTAGTAATGCCTGCATTGCTGAGCTATGAACTGGTCGAATGAAGTCTTAAAAAAACTATACAGTATTATTGCACTCGTGGCTGTGCAGTGTGGGACTGGCCAGCACCGAAACGGGGCCCATTGAGTGTTTGTCCGGCAGGCTCAACGTGGCTGCGAGAGGGGCATCCAGCCTGCGCCAACAGCGTCTGTCTTCAGCACAGGCCTTCATGGGTCTGCGCCACGCGGCCCGGGAACCACCACCCAATGCCTGCGGGGAGACACCGCATTACCACCAGCAACACCCCTGTGCCGGCACACCTGGGCACAGCTGGGGCACAGCTGCACCGAGCCAGCACACCCAGGCACAGCTGCACCGAGCCAGCACACCTGGGCACACACCTGCACTGAGCCAGCACACCTGGGCACAGCTGCACCGAGCCATCACACCTGGGCACACCTGCACTGAGCAGCCCCATGAAGAGGAATCATAAGCTACATGTTTTGAAAGCCACCCGTGACATGGGAAATGGAATATTTTGTCATAAAATACCACTACTGCCAACAGCTCTGGAGCATTTGCAGAGGGACGGGGCAGGACAGTGTCTTGCTCTTCAAGGTTGTGCAATTCAACTGGGTTACAAGCCAAGGAAACGTAAATCTCCTACACAAAGGCTGTTCTAAGGCACCTCATGCAGCGTGTTTCTGTCTCTACTACACACAGAGACACTCTGCCCCACTGTCATCAGCCTCCTGCACACAGTAACACACCTTCTGCCTCATGGAACACCAGCTTCCCATTCTGAGACAGGCAAAACGAGCCTCAACCCAAAACCTCCCACCCAAACAGCCCCTATGGCGCCACACACAGCAATTTAATGTCACAGAGGCTGCTTCTCTAGGAAAACATTTAACTGAACAAATGTCTCCAATGCGCCTGTCACACCAGGCACACGCACTGGTGACGGGAAGAGACTTACGAGGAGTTTCAGTGCTGTTCGATGGGGCTATGATCGATGATGGGGCATTGACTCCATGTGCACATTGAGCTTCATCTCGTTATCAAGGATCTGTACAAGCTGCTGCATGGAAGGAAGGTGACCAGACTCCAGCTTAGACCACACTGGGACATCTAGCACAGAACACATGAAGGGAGAAAAGCACCATTAACACTGGGAGTGTCATGAAACACAGGGCTGGTGTCCACATGGAACTGAGGAGTTCTAGGAAGCTGTGTGAGTTGGTACTGATTTATATGGAGGAAAACATCTGGATCAACAATGCTTCCAACCTCTGGCTATGCTGAGGCCCAGCCCAACCAGGAGAGCAGAGTGTCTAATGCTTCTGTTTAGAAGTGCATCCTATAGATGGAGAGGTACAAAATATCCACTGACATTCCTTTCAACCTGAAAAATCAGTACTGCTGTCCACTGGTACTGAAAATCTGGGAATAGCAATGGATTCCTTAGGATTCCAAGGCTGAAGCACACTACAGGACATGGAAGGCATATAATTGGAGAGTTTGCGTCCCTAGCTGATCATTTCTGACTTAATGCACGTCACACACAAAGAAGGAACAAAACAGTTACTCCAAAGGACCAAGTGTCCCTTTAAGTTTTTACAGAGCTATTCTGACATCTGTATTAACTGCTATACAAGACTTCTACGATTTTCATCATTTATTGTGATAGATAACATCTGAAGATCCAAACAGCTGGCAATTTCCACATACCACATTTCCTCCCACCATCTCTCATTCTCCTTGCTCCACAGCTTTCATGTGTGTACATGTGCAACAAGACATCCCATGAAACAAAGCCTCAGCTCACCATTCAAAGTGATTTCAAAAGCCCCGGTGGACATGCACTGGTTCTCAATCATGTTGCTCAGGAAGAAGACCATCATGCAGGCGTACACCTGGAAGGGAACAGAGACCACACACAGCTCAGCCACATCAACCACACATGCCTGCTGTTCATTCTCAGTGAGCACTGGACATTCACAGGTGTCTCTGAACTCCCTGTGGGGAGGAACTGCTCAAGGAATGTTCGCCTCCACAGACACCTCCCTTCCATCCTTTTACACAGACCATGTACCTTGCCTTCCCCAGACAAGCACTGAACCAGCTCTGAACCCCCCCCAACTCACAGCCCTGGTTCAAACCAAGGCAAGGTACACGCTCCTGCTCCACCTCTGCACACCTCTGGCCCCGTCACAGCTGGCTGCAGGGGAGCTGGCAGGGTGACACAGGAACACAGCTGTTCCCACACACTGTCACTGTCACAGCAACACTCCAGACCATAGAGCCACAGGCCCAGGCACAAACAGCACAGTGAGGCAAATCACAGAGTGCACAAGAACCACAGGCCCTTCAGCACATCTCTGAGCATTTCATCTGAAATTTTCTGTGGGTGGGATGGCATCTTCAGAAATGCAGCTCCTCTCTCACCACTAGCACCTTTTCAATTCCCTTTCCCTGCTCACAGGCACACTCTCACAGGTCACTGCAACACCACAGAACCTGGCACAGGGACAGTGGCAGTGCACAGCAGCCAGCCTGGCTGGGCACAGCATTGGATGGAACTATTACAGCTTGTGGGCATTCACACTGGCCAGTGAGAGACCCAGGGCACGGGGTAGCTCAGTCTGAGGGTCTGTAAATCGCTTTGGTTTAATGGAGTAAATCTGGAATAAGGTTACTCTAAATCAGAGTACAACACCCTGAACCTCCTGGTATCATCAGTACTGACTCACAGGGATATTCTCCCACAATGTCATGCCAGAGTCTGCTCTGCAAAACACCCACAATATTTCAACTTCATTTTTCTAAACACCATTTAATTGCTGCCTAATCTATTAGAAGTCTGATGGAAGCATCAACTGCAAAACAGTTATGAGACAGCAGAGAAGGGAAGCTGCAATTTTAACACCAGCAGTACTGACCTGAAATACCACTTTTGAGCCCTAAAAAATAATAAACTCTTCTATCATCTTTGTCAGCAATGTTAACCTCAGCTGTCCTTCTGCAGCAGTAGCAGCTTGGAAAGAGATGACAGAATCACACCTGGGTCTGTCCAAAGCCTAAAGTACTGAGTAAGAATTATGCTACTGCAAGGCTGCAGCATATGAAAGGTAAATCAGTCAGAACCGTGAGGGACTCCCAGAGCACCCATGAAGTCGCTCTGAAGTAAAAGCATTATGTCCCTTACCTTGTTTTCTTGGCCCCACTGCCAGATGCTCGGAGCTTGCATGCCAAAGAAAGCAAATGGATCCTTGCCAACGATGATTAAGCCAATTAATACTAGTTTGAAGACAGACAGGAAGGATGCTATGTGCCTGTTGGAGAGAACACACACAAGTGACTAAAAGGTTCAGTTTCTACTTCACCATACACAGCTGTAATTGACCTCACGAGCATCTTGACAGTGTACAATCAAATGTTTCAGGGGAAGTACAAAACTTTCCAAGTAAGTTTATCTCACTGTAAAAAACATCCCAAAAAACAGATCAACAAAGCAAAAAAGCAACACACATTAACAACACCCCCAGCAAGGCACTGCTCTTGTATAGCACCCCAGAAAGACACCTTCTTGTATACCACACATAGATTCTCTCGTTCCTCAGCAAACCTCAAGTGAGAATTTACTTTCAACTTAAACATGTCTGAACTGGGAAACAGACTCAGTTTCTGAAAATGTTGTTCCATGTTAGAGAGATACATTTAATTGATATATTTGCTATAGAGCATTTCCCAGAGAGGCAGAACTCCCCACAGGCTGAGCCAGCTCACACAGGCACTGTGCCCTGCAGCCTCCATTACTGCAACCCTGACAGAAATTGGGCCAGCAAGCGCTCCAGAAGCCACTCCAGTAACTATGGCATCACTCTCAAGCGTGGGCACAGCGCTCTAAATAGCAAGAATAACACTATTTTCCTTTTGTCTTTTTCCCAATTTCTTTGGGCTTCCCCCCAACTGCAGCTAAGGCCACCCTGGCAGTGTCACCCTGAGGTGAGCTCTCCATGACTCATATGTCAAAAATGAACTTTTCCCTCCTGTGCCCTTAACCCATTACAGGGATTTGTCACTAAGTGAGCAAGCCTGAGCAACAAATTGAATTTATGTCACAATGCAGCATGAAGAAAAGCTGGGAAAAGTCACCGTGAAAAAAAAAAAAACCAGTTACGTATTTTATTTTAGATTGGATACCACAGGCATCATCATACACATATCCAGATGGTGTTATTTGTATGGAAAACTAAGGCACTTCTCTGAAAGGAAGAAAATCACTGAGTGTGCATACAATCACAATGGAAAAACCCCTTCAGTTTCCATTTTCAGTGTAAATGTGCACGTTCAACACCGGAAAGCAGACAGACAGTACTGCTGGCCATTTCTTACCTATAGATAGGTTGAGGAAGGTAGTTCTCCCCTTCGATTCGGATGTCTGGGTACCGCTGGCTGATGACCCGCATGTACTCCTCAAACACCCGCCTGTAGCCTCAGGAGACACTGGACACAGACAGGATTGTCACCACAGCTCGAGGGCTGCATGGCACAGCCACTGCCGAGCAGCACTCGCCCGATCATAACCCTTTCAGGTTAAACCACAGTTCTTATGCCACAGAGAAAAAACAATCTGCAGTGAAATTACACATCACAACCCCCAAGAGTTGAGCCCTGATGTGACATAGGTTTGCTCCACATCCCAACGCTGACTCTGGTAACACCCACTGGTCACCGAATCACTTGCTTTCCCTAGAAAAAACTGTTAGGACTATGTTAGGAAGTCAATGTAAGCAGACCCTTGCTCTGTACCAAAAAGCCCTCTTCACACAGAGCCTCCTGAATCCCTCGCTGGTTATACCGAATCCCCCTGTGTGACTGCCCAGTCACGCCTGTGTCAGCACGGCACGGGACCCGCAGGAGTTAAATATTCCCGAGCTGTGCTCCGCCTCGCCTTTCTGCAGCCACCTCTGTAGAAACTGCGGTGACGATCGCCGCCAAAGACCCCAAAGCCAGCATTCTGCACCGAGCGCTCCTGCGGTGCCTCAGAGATCCGCACGGCCCGGCCCGGGCTCTGCTCCCATCGCACCGGGCCCTGCCCGCCCCAGGCCCGGGGACGGCGGGGACGGGCGCTCGGGGCCTGCGGGGGTTTTGTCCCCGCAAAAAGTCTTCCTGTGGGCCGGGGCCGCCTCAGCCCCGCTCGGAGCCGCTCACACGGCCGGCAACACCCTCGCAATGGTGCAGAGGCACCCGAGCGGCCCGGCTGCAACCCGGGCACTGCACCAAAACACACACAGAACTGCAGCCTTTGCAAAAACATTGATCCCTCCCCAGCGTCAGCCCGCGCCGGCACACCGATACACGTGCCGTCAAAGGGCCCGAAAAGCGCTTTTTACGGCGGGCGGCCGCATTTTAAAGGGTCCCACTGGCAGGGCCGCCGGCCGCTGCCGCCTCCCACGCCCCAGCCGGGCCCGGCGCCCCGGCAGCTCGCCCGTCGGGGGCGGTTCCCCCGCGGCGCCCGGCACCGCGGGCGGCCCCTCCAGGACGGTAAGAGCGAGCGAGCGGGGCCGCGGCAGCGCTGAGGGAGCGGAAGGAGGGAGAGAGGGGAAGACGCTGGCCCGGCGGGCGCCGCCATCTTGGCCGCCGCCATGTTGGCGGGCGCCCCTCACCAGATCTGGAACTTGAGCAGCGGCCCGGTGGCGTAGGCCATGCGCAGCTTCTTGGCCGGCAGCCCGCCCTGCTCCGCCGAGGCGCCGCCGCCCGGTCCCGCCGCCAGCGCCGCCAGCAGCAGCAGCAGCAGCAGCCCCGCCGCTCGCATCTCGCCGCCGCACCGAGGCTCGCGCGCCGCCTCCCGCCGTCACGCGGGCACGGGGGGCGGGCCGGGCGGGCCGTGAGGGGAGGGCGGAAGGGCCCTCAGGGAGCCCCCGGCGGTCAAACGGGCCCTGCAACGGAACAAACGCGCTCCTTTACTATTAAATGCTCTTTATTTTTATCTACATTCCGTTATTGCAGAAAGATCGCATCTCTTTTTAAATATAATAAAGCTATCAAATGTTTTAATCGGCTTTCCTCCTCCCACCCAAACAAGGAAAACCAGCCTATTTTAGGCAGTATGCTCCAGAAAAGGAGCATATTTCTGGTTGGAACAGCAGCAGAACTGGCTGATGGATATTCATTACTTGTTTACGGTTTCACAAGTACACAAATCTTTAGGAAAACTTTTTTAAAGGCAAATGTGCAGCAAATCTGTGGACTTTCGCACCCTTGGTCATTTGGTGAAATGTTTTACTGTGTTCAAGTTAATAACAAACTACATTTTGCATGAACTTCCTGTTAGTGCCACACTGGAGCTCCAGCAAGTTTCAAACACCCAATTCTAGATCTTCCAGTTCTTTAAGGAGAGCAGCTTCTTTCTGAATCTTCTCTACCTAGAACAAAAAAAAAAAAAGCATAAGATGTTACAGATGTAGCTTAGTATAAAATTAACCTTGAATTAACTGCACAGATCTTAACCATACCTGATTCTTCTCAAGCTGTTTGCCAGCAGCTGCCTGTTCTTTCAGCTGCTCAATTGCCTTTAGCTTCTGAAAAAAAAAAACAAACCAAAAGCCACTCTAACACAAAATATTGGTGAACCAAGAATAAAAAAAAAAGTCTTAGAAATTGTTGCACTCGCAATTGCCTGAGGCATCTGCAGGCAGATCTCTGTGGAAGGCACATTCCCTTTAAGCATCTCCAGATACTCAATCCAGAATTTCCAACCTACAACAAACATTTCTTTCAAGAACAAAACTTAGAGAACAGCAGCACTTCCTCCTCTCTGAAAAGCACACCGTTCACTGTCTTATTGAAGGGCTGGATCCAAACTCAAAAATTACTCCATCACTATCCTTCTTCTTCACACATTTTGCTCAGGAAGCCTGGAATGTTAATCCAGAAACAATAAAAAGCAGGAGGTCACCAAGAGAAATGTGAGAAGTTTTCTAGCCTGAACTAAACAATTTCTGTTCTGAAATTATTTAATCCAAGAATTCTCAAGACTGGCAGTAAACTTCACACTTGCACCACAAGGCCAACCAAAAGGGCACAGTTCCCTTGTTGGACCCAGGACCCAACAACCATGGAGGCCACACAGCTCCTGTCTGAGCACGACCACCTTTCAGTGCAACCTGCCCCTCAGCTGGGACTGGCTGCCCCTCCACAGCATTCCTAACTGGAGCCTGAACACTGCTCCCTGCAGCTGGCAGTGGTTCTGCACTGCCACCTCTGATGGGCCCTCCAGGAGCTCTGGCATGCGATGGCCTCCACTGCTGCACACGATGAGAAAGCAAAGGAAGCTGGCTACAAAGTCAGGACATCACCACGGATGTAAACGCATCCTCCTGAGCCCAGCTCACCTTACCCTCACACTAGGTCTCAGAGATGTCTGTTGTCTGCTAGAAAAAAAAACCCTCACCTTTTTCAAATTCTTTATCTTCTTGTCCACGTCAGGATCTCCCGTGGTGGTGGCAGGCACAGCGTTCCGCGGGGCGTTCTGTGGCGCCGGGGCCTGGGCAGGGCCCTGGTTCGCATCAGTTTTGGCCTCCTGTAGACAAAAATACATGATCCAGAAAATACATTTGATTGCAAAGAGATTGAAAAATGTCTTTAATCACATTAAGGCATCCATTTAATATTTCTTCTTTCACTAGTTTGCTAGTGTATTCAAAAATGCCTGCATGACTTGCTCTGATATACTGCATTACCTCTGGATCTCTTTCCATGGACAAAGGCTTATCTAGAACAACTCACATGCTGTTTCTTGTTGAATTTCTACTTCCTCAAGACACCAACCATATATACAGCACATGTCAGTAAGGGTAACATGATAAACACATACACAAATGTTTTATAAAGCAGACTGGGTCATTGTCTCTGAAGGAAAAGAAAGGGCTCAAAACCAGTGCAAGAAATTTAAAAAATCTTATTTAAAGAAATTTTTGTTTCAGAGGTTTGTAGAAATTGAAGGCTAATACCAAAAGCTGAATTTTATCCACCTAGTCAAAAAATAGCAAGTCAAGGGGTGACAAACAGCCTGTCTCTGGTCTGTCTTGAAAACATGTCTCAGCCCTGTCCTGCTGGGGACACATCAGAGCACCCAGCCCATCCTGACCTCCCACCTGACACCAAAACACACTCTGCAGAAGGTGAAAAGCCAGAATTACTTTGTCTCCACACTGATTTCAGCTAACATTTGCAGCAACTTCCCAAAGCTGTTACTTTAAGTCATGCTTTTATACCTGCTTTAGTCTGGTTGAACTCTGCTGCCCTCCCCACAGCGCAGCACATGCGAGACATTTGGAGGGCTCTCTGTCCACAGGTCACTGCTCTCAGACTGACCAGTGCCCTTTGGGAAAACCAATTAACTAACTAACATTATCCTTGAAAGAACAACTTCTGGAGTACCTGTTTAGCAGCTTTCTTTGCTTCATGTTTCCTCTGATTTTTGAGAGCTGTTTTAGACAGTGGCTTATCACCACCTCCTAAAGGGGGTTTCATGTTCTGGGGTGGCTCGTCCTCGTGCTGCAGGATATGCAAAATAAAGTTAAGAACCTGTATTCCAAGTTGGCACAGAAAACCCAAAACCTTCCTAAGACAATATCATATGCAAAGATGAACAAGAAAGGAAGAAGGAAAAACAAATAAAGGAAGGGGGGAATAAAAGTATGCATTCCTTGGAGTAGCCAAAGACTGTGGTAAGGGTTTCAAACTCATCCACTCAATTTTAGACGGGACTACTCTGTGCATCCTAAAAATTTCATCAATTTCTGTTAAAATAACAAAATTGTGATTTTTTCTATCTTGAGGGGAAATAAAATCCAAAAGGAATAACCCAGCACAAAGTGACTGGAGCTTGGCATTTTGCTGTTGTGGACAGCTTTTTGACTCAAAACTCCTGGTTACCAGAGAGGAAGGCTGGGTGCTGGGAAGGGAGATGGAGGATTTCTCAGGGACAGTGGGGTATGAGAAGGGACGGTTGTTCAGGGTTTTTAAGATAACACTTAACTGTGGTGCTGTATTGTTCTAATGCATACAAAACTTTTTGCCCATAAGTAAACAGACTTATTTTTTAATGTGTCTACTCCCTCTGCTCATGGATGGTTTGTGCGCACAGCTAACAGACTGCTCGCAGGCCTAGTCTCCTTCAAAAGCATCAGCCTCAAAATCCAAGCACTCAGCCTACTTTGAAAACCTGCAGAGAGGAAACTAATTAGACAAGTAGGTCACTGTACTGAAGGTGTTTAAGCTGCAGCTGACTTTTCTAATGATCCAATCTCTGTCCAGCAAACAAAGTTACCTTAGGAAAAAAAAAGTGGCTATTGGGAGGCTAGTCAACCCCCAGGCTGGCTGGGCTCAGACTGGTGAGTCAGGTCACCCAAATCAAGAGGCTTCTGTCCAAACCAGAGCACCCAATTTCACAGCAAACCACATGTGCAGTTTAGTGTTCTAGTGCACACTGCAGAGAGCATTATTAAAGTCTGCAAATGCTTTATGACAGGACAGTATTTCGGCCAAAGAAACGGGAGTTTTCTAGCACACCTTGCAAACCATGAGGAAAGTGCCAAAGAGGGTAATCCAAACCCCTCCAAACCCCCTCAGTGCTGCTGTCAGTCCAGTTACTCTCCTCATGTTCCTCCTCCAAAACACACACATACATGAGGCCAAGCTCCAGACAAAGCCATGAGACACAACACTTCCGTTCCCACAGAGCACTGCAACTCACCAGCTTGGAGCTGGTCACGGGCTTGTTCCTCAGGGCAGGAGGTCTGTATGCCTGCGCAGGCTTCGGCTCAGCACTGGGCACGTCACTGGGAACTGCCTGGTACTTCACTGCTCTCTCCGGGAACACCCCCTCTGGGAAGGGCTGCCAGGACACTTGCCACATCTCCTCGTTGGATGGGACCTCGTGGGTGTGCAGCACAGAGCCCGTGTAGTGCCAGATCTTGTACCCATTGCTGACCCGCAGCCGGGGAGCACACGTGGCTGTCACAATGTGCTCCCCGTCGGGACACCACGCAAAGTACGTGGAGTCTGAGGCCACAGGTTTGGAAATGAGTTTGTAGTTTTTAACATCCCACACTTCCATCTGTCCCCTGAGGTTCCCAAACCCTGCCAGCACCAGGATGTGTCCGTGGGGGCTGTAGTAGGCAGCATTGCGAGGCCCAGTGCCAAAATCAAACACAGGGTCACACTTCAGGTTAAAAATTGTGGCTTTGGCAGGCATGAAACCATACACAGCACAGAACTCGACAGAATTGGGGCTCCAGGCAACATCGTAAATAGGGCCATTTTTTGCTAAAGGAAAAAGAAAAACAGGCAACTGTTGGGACATTACATTTTTTCAGTGCAAGCCAAAATAAAATCCATAGCGATTCTTCATGCTTTGCTAAAATGCTGTGATCCAATCACTGACAGTGAAAATTAATTCTGCTAACAACAGAGGGAGAAACAGCCTTTTATCTTCTCATAACTTTAGTTACGGTTTGCAACAATAACTGCAGCCATTCCAAATTACCTCTGTAGGGTCAGCACCAGCACTTTTACAGTAAGCATAGCTTGTCATGTAAAAAAAATCCTTTATTTTTTTTCCTCGTTACTCAAGTATGACCTCAGGACCTTCTCAAACTGTCCCACTGGAAACCTGCAAAAACGGGAGTTTTACACCAGCTGGATAATAGTTCCTCTTTTTTTAATCTAAGAAATATTGCGTAGCTCAGCTTTGTAGTGGTAATAGTAACCTAAGTTATCTTAGGACAATGCCCACGCACAGTATTTTATAAACCAGATTTTAATGTGAGTGAGGACACAGAAATGGTTTCACACATAATGATCAAACCTTGGTACTGTTAGAAGATATTCTATGGGTTGGAACATTAGGAGATACTGAAGAATGATGAATTAGTGATGAAAATTTGCATAAAATATCCAGGGATAAATGCAAACCACAGGCCATTATGACTTTTCATAATTTGGGTATCTTTACCCATAGTCAGATAAATGCCAAGTACAGCAGAGTCGACCCAAAATCTGAAACTGAGTTAAATGGTTCATTCCTGTTGTCACTCTGAAGTCTCATTATCTTTAGAAAGGAGGGTGTATAATCACAGTGTCTGTGTGTCCCCCTTCAAAACCTTTTCAGTGACATTTAACCCAATGCAGCTCAGAGACAGAGGTGGGGCAGAAAATGACATCTGGTGACAGCAGCAGCTGTAGAGATGAGGGCAACTCTGTGTGGGCTTTACAGCTCAGGCAGAGCCTGCAGCAGCAGCACATCTTAATTGGAAACCAAAGCCCTCTGCAAATGCCAGTGTGAAAAAAAGCTTCAAAACTGGACCTTCAAAAGCAACCAGAAGTCCAACCCTACAGGGAATGAGGCACCACTCACTCCAAATATATCAAAGCTAAGGTAATTTAGCAATTAACAAAACCCCAAACCACAAACCCCAACACTGCACCAGGAAGCCCTGTCCCGGCGGGCCGGGTACTCACGCAGCTGCACGACGGCGCTCTCCCCGTTGGCCGCCAGGTAGTGCAGGGTCTGCTCCCCGTAGTACGACGCCCCCGTTTTGTCCACCTCGGTGCTGGCGACCACCAGCACGGCCGTGGCTGGGGAACAGACACAGTCACTGCAGCACATCTGCTGAAACCACAGCAGCCCCTGCACAACCCACCCCTGCAAACACTGCACCGGACAAAGCGGAACCGAGCTGGTGGCAATTCTAGCCGGTTCCTTGTGTAACAGTGCTGGTATCGTTCTCTTCTGAACTCAGTTTGTCCTAATGTTAACCCAAACGGACCAGATGGAAAATGTAAGCTCGACCTATTCATTCACTTTTGGATCACAAGCCAGTGAACGTACTTTGCAGCCATAAAAAAATATTTCTAAGGTAGAAACCAAACCTCCTGATCAGCCCCTGAATAACATGTTCCACCAACAGCTGCTCTATGCACTGTTACCCAAAGCCACAAGCTCAGGCATGGTTTCCACACGTGTGGAACACCTTCCCTGTATTACAAACTACGCAGGTTGAAGTAAAGTGGTTTTTACAAAATTACTCTGAAACAGCTGGTTGGTAACAAACAGCAAAGCACAGAGCCCTGTCAGCTCATTCCAGCTGTGACATGTCTGCATATGTACAATTCTACAGATTAAGATTACACCAGAGCATAAACCTGTCTTACATTTACAGTTTAAATACACTATCAACACAGAATGCAAATTTATATAGGAATTTGCTATTCAACTGCAAGATTTACCAGCATGTATAGAATACTCTCAGTTACAACATACAAATCATGACAGTCACAGGAAAGTGCTGAGCACTTCAGGGTGTGCAGAACTGCATCTTAACACTGTGTTGGCATCAATGGCTGTCCTCGGGGTTTATCTGCATATGCAAATTAAACACAAACCCCACACAGTAAACAAAGGAATACAATCCAAAATGGGCTGAACATAAAAGTTGCAATACATAGCTGCTGTACCTTTTTTGTTCCACAGCATTGTCACCCTGTCAGCCTTGAAGAAGCTCTTGTTGGCGAGTGCCGACTGCGGGCCCCCGAAGTTGGGGTACTGGTAGAGCCGCACGAAGGACGGGGCGCCTTTGCTGCCTGGCACGTACACAGCGACCTGCAACAGCCACAAGAGTCCACTGCAGCTTAAACCTCGCCAGCACAGGCCACAGGTACTACCACTATGTTGTACGAACATCACAGTCATTTTTTTTCTTAAGAAAACCAAGAAAAAGATTGGAAATGGGATCAGAAGTACCTTGGTTGGCTGTGCTCCTGGGGACAACACAAAATCACTGACTTTCTGTAAATGCAGCTTATTTGCAATGGTGTCTGCCAAGAGAAAGGCCACAGATGTGGGATGTTAATGATAAACTGCATTACCTGGATGACCCAACCACATCCTTCTATGGGCTTGTACCCTGCATAACACCGATCAGTGAGGATAAACATAAAGGATTTCTTTTACTAGGCAAACAACCATTACTTTCCCATTTCATTACAGTTTTATTTACAAAACCAACTGGAACCAAGCCTAGGTCTAAAGCCCAGTATTTAGTATTTGGAAACAGCCCAGGAAGCCTGCAAATCTCAAGTGAACACTTGTGCTTAAAGCAGGTGTTCTTCACCTTATCTGTGCTGGCTTCAGTCACATCCAGGGAACATGTACCCTTACAGAGACAGGTGCTCTCCCCTCACACCTTCCCCACAGGAAGCACTCAGAGACCTGTTCTTGGCTGAATTCTGCCCCTTTCCACAAACAACTGCTGGAACACCAGCACCCCACAGCCTCACTGCAGCCAGGAATGTGCACTGCCAGCAGGCCTCCTGCTGAGGCTGACATTCCCTGCTTCCCACAGCTTCATTAACATCAGCAGGGTTATTTCTCAGGAAACCGTATCTCTTATAGCTGTAATTCTTGTATCAGCTTTACATTTAAAACACAGAACACAAGACCAAAAACACACATTGTTCTCTCCTCAGTTTTCTTTAATTCCTTTACAGTTTTCTTCTAATTAATTTTTAACCCCCTGCTTTTTTCTTCCCTGTTCCCTTTCTGACTTCTATTGACTCCAAATATTCTACCACCAGTATTAAAACTCCTTGGTAAAAATTTTCAGGCTTCACTACTTCATATTTGCCATTGAGACAAAATTTTTAACAAGCCATTTTTTAACAGTTTATTGACAGAACACACACAACTCAAATAAGTAACTACAGATCACATTCTCTACTGACAATTTCCTGGATCTCATTACATGAGAAAGAATATAGAATCAAGCCTCTTGAACTGAAAATCAGATTAATTTCATACCACATAAGCCAGTGAAAACACACTTCAGTAAAGCATAACGATTCTGAATTCCAAATTCAAATAGAATGTAGGCAACATTTAAAACATAAAGCAAGCAAAAGAAGAAACAAGGAAAAAGTTGAAAAGGAAAACCACCACCCAAAAGAAGCAGCATTTACAGCATGAATGAAATGTAGAGAAATACTCGCGTACTGAAGTTGTTGTTTTCAAAGAAGTGCACTTCATTGTTCACATTCCTGGCACAAATGCTTTCATCATCTGCCCAGCAAGGACACCTGCAATTCAAAGGAAAAGTCAGAAACACCGAATGATGCTCGTCTTTAGCACTCCGGGATTGTTTTTCCCCTCCCTTTTTTAAAGCCCAGCAAGTTCTAACATGATAGGTTTCATAGGGACAAATTACATCTGCATGGCAAAAAATATGCAAGTGGACTTATTTATTGCCTGCCCAGCTTTGCCTGCGGTGCAAAAGGAGGGTGAATTAACAGTGAGCCACACACCAACACTCACAGGCACAGACCAGCCTTTAGCCAGCAGCAGGCACTGGTTTAAAAGCCAGCACTGCAAAAACAGCTCCATTTACCTGAATCAGATTTTGGAAATTGAATTTCTTTGCAAACAATTAGCATCGGGAAGGGTTATTTACCAGTTCTGCATCTTTTTCTGGATGAAGGACTTTAAGCATTTTCCTGTTCTCAGATCATGGAGCTGCAGGTTGGGCAGCCCCGCCGTGCCATCCTTCCCAGCTGCAAGAAAACACAGTGGTCTCTGGGGATCAAACCTGCTTCACCAGGACATCCCACCTCACTGCTCCGCAAACACCCACCCATGCACCAACTTCCAACAAGCAGCATCCTGCCCCTGCGGCTCTCCGAGACAGGGACCTGAATCCTTGCAGAGCCAGGGGAGGGACAGGGACAACACTTCAGGCACTGCGCCCAGAGGAGAACTCAACTCCTGCAGGAAGGTGTCTGATGTGCACAGGAACACGATCTGCCTGCACAGACACTGCCCACACACTGCACCACAACCAGCTCTCAGTGCCTGGAAACACAGGATTCACTCAGAGTACCTTCAGCACGTGCCCTCTGACTCAGTGTTTCTAGGATGGCATCCCTCACCCCACCACCGTGTCCCTGATTACCCACAGACCCTTCGTGCACCTTCTGTACTGCTCACTGAGCCAATAAATGTCCCACAGAGATGAGTGAGGTGCTGGAGAGGCTGCCAGCCCCCTTCACACGTGCACATACATCAGGTGCCTGCCCAGCTGCCACGATACCCACCTGCATAGGCCTGCCACGTGGCCAGGACGTTATTCTTTGGAGAGAATTCAAGGCAAACTGCCTTGGGGAGATCAAAGGAGCGCAGTAACTCAGCTCTGGTGACGTTAACGACGTTTACTCTGGAACCAAAAGATGCTATTTCAATAAAGCATGCTTACAATAGTTAGTTAATTGCTAGTGTGCTAAGTGCTAGAGAACTGTTTGTGTATTTGACTCTTCTAGATCTGTCTCAAATTTAGCCAATGGAACACAATTAGAAAAGCTTTTTTCCCCCTCCTGCTTTTACTAAATGTTTGCAACAGCACATTTTAAAACCAGATACCCAGGCATGACAGAAAAAGTGAGAGCACAGAACATGTATTTTTATCTGCAAGCTCTGAACAGGAGAGTGAACTCTGAAATGCACCTGGTCTATCAAAAGGAATCTTGTGATGTTGGTACCTAAGGTGCACAGAGTCTTTACTTCCTGTGGACTTTACTAATCAATTCATCCAGAAAACAGGCACTGGGAGCTATGAACAAAAAAACAACCCAATGAATAAAGCATCTCCAGATTACACTGGAATGGGTGCATTATACACAGTAGAACAGCAAATATTTCTTCTGAGAGTCAGGAAACAAAGCCACTATTGTGAAGAATGCAAAAATAAACTGCATTTAAAACGTGCATGCAAATACTTGCACTAACAGCAACTGCCTTTACACAGGAAAGTCACAGGGCATAACTGATCCAATTCATTTCATACAAACTAAAGATTAAGAACATAAAATGCACCCACTTTTCTCCACTGCACCAGGCAAAGAGAGAGCCATCCTTGCTAAAAGCAACAGCTTTGCAATTTTTTCCAGAGTCCCTAAAGAAATAAGAAATGCACGTGAGTAGTCAGTAGTGCCCACGTGAAGATTTTTTAACAAAACCAAAAAGCAACACCCCTGAGGAGCCCTGCAGTCCCTGCTGCCCCTGTTCAGGGACTGTCACCTGGCAGTGACACCTCAGGCAAGCACAAAGCCTCCCAAACCACCAGGTTCCTGAATCAGTCACAGCAAGAAATAATTCCCTTATATTTACACATTTTCCGATTCCTTTGCTTTTTACAAAACTGTTTGTTTTGCACGAAAGCTCGGAGGCAGTGCCCGCAGTACCTCTGGAACGCCGAGCTCTCTGTGAAGCTGGGGGGCCCGTTCACCATGTACAGTCCTTCGGACCCTCGCACTGAAACGGAAACAAGGACCTCATTCCAAATTGCCCAAAGCAGAAGCTGTGCTAAGCTGCGAACCCTAAGACAGGCACACAGGTTCCCCTGCTCGCTGTAAGGACACCCAGGATGGGAGGTGTGCCTGGAGCCCCCAGCCCAGCCCCCGGGATGGGGACCCAGAGCCTTGGGCAGCTCACGCCACCACCTTGCAGCAAAGCATTTTTTTTTCGTGTTTGAATGCAATTTCCCGGGGTTCAGGCCCTGACAGACCCCAAGGGGGCCTTTTAACACACCCTAAATACAGCCCACGAGCTGCATACCCCCGCCTGCAGCCTCTCCTCCATCTCTGCCATCAGGGCACCCACTGAGATCCACATTTACAACAGCTTACAGACAGCACCGAGCAGCCCCAAATCCACACGCAGCAGCTGCAGTCCCCCGACCCACGCGAGGGCAAGTACGGCTTTTAAGGCTCAGAAACACAGGGAAGGAAAATACATCTCCCTGCTGTCAGGAACGGCTGAACAGGGAGAGTATCAGAAGGAAAAGGGCTTTTAAGAGCCCTCGCACCGACCGAGCTCCGCGAACGCCCCCCGGGAACCGCGCGAGAACCCCCCCCCGCGCCTGAAGGGCGAACCCCGGACACGCTGCCCCGGGAGCTCCCGCGGGGTGCCGGGCTAAGCGGCGGCAGCCCCGGAGAGGGCCCAGAGAGCCCTGCCTGGCCCCGGGAGCGGCCCCGCCAAGGGCGCCAGGGTCGCGCTGGGTCCCACAGAGGCCGCGCTCCCTGCGGAGGGCACGGGCGATGGGGACGGGCCATGGGCACCGGCGGGCCGGGCCCGACGCACCCGCGAGCAGCGGCGTGGGCGGCGCCATCTTGGCGCGGCGGCGGCGGCGCTTCCGGTTCCGCTTCCGGATCAGCGGCGCGCGGCAGCCGCAGCGCGCGCCACGTCGCGCGGGCGGGGCGGGGCTGCGGCGCGTGCGCGGGCTGGCGCGCGCGGCCCCGCCCCCGGCGCGGTCCCGGCGTACGGCGCGCGCGGTGCTGACGCGGCAGCGGCGGCCGGGCCGGACCGGGCCGGGCTGAGCCGAACCGAGCCGAGCTGAGCCGAACCGGGCCGAGCTGAGCCGAACCGAGCCGAGCTGAGCCGAACCGAGCCGAGCTGAGCCGAACCGAGCCGAGCTGAGCCGACGCGGGCCGAGCTGAGCCGAACCGGGCCGGGCTGAGCCGAACCGGGCCGGGCTGAGCCGAACCGGGCCGGACTGAGCTGGTCCGGACCGGACCGGGCTGAGCGGAGCCGGACTGAGCTGATCCGGGCCGGGCCGGGCCGAGCCGAGCCGAGCCGCCATGGTGGCCAAGCAGCGCATCCGCATGGCCAACGAGAAGCACAGCAAGAACATCACCCAGCGCGGCAACGTCGCCAAGACCTCGGTGCGCGGGGCCGGGCTGAGCGGGCGGGCGGGGGCGGCGGGGCGGGCGGGCCGCGCTGACCGGTGCTGTGCCCGCAGAGAACGGCCCCGGAGGAGAAGGCGTCGGTCGGGCCCTGGCTGCTGGCGCTGTTCATCTTCGTGGTCTGCGGATCAGGTGAGCGGCCGCTGGCCCTGCTGGCGGTTCGGGGCACTCCTGGGGCCCGGCGGCGTTCGGGCCCCCCGAGCTCCCTTCTCCGCTCTCTTGCAGCCATCTTCCAGATCATCCAGAGCATCCGGATGGGCATGTGAGGGGCCAGGGCCGGGCCATGGCCCGCCGGCCCCGGCCGCCGCAGCACTGCCGAGGAGCGGCCGTGTCGCATTCCAGGTCCCTTCACGAGTCATTCCGAGTTTTCTAGCCCGTGCCACAGTGCCTTGAACAGCACCACATGTATAAAGCAATAAAAATCTGTTGTTGATCTACAATCGTGGACCTACTTATTCGCTGAAGATCCAGCCTGGTGTCTCGCACGCGGAGCTGTAACACGACGTAGGTCCATAGGAACTGGCATCTTGTCAACACCGGTCCCAGACCAGTGTCACTCTCTGTCTAGCTGGAAATGGTTTCATTTGACGCTGGAAGCCGGGATTTTTGCAGTGGCTGGAGCCCGACTGTGCAGCATGTTCCCGAGGAGCCCCGCCGTGCGTCGCCCGTGTGCGCAGGGAGGCCCCACTGCAGCATGTGGCAGTGCTGTCCTCGCAGCTGCATCTCTGTAGCTTTGCCCTAACCCACGCCAAGCGCTTGTCTGTATGGGGGCACCGGGGTTCCTGAGGGACTGGCACGGCTGGGCAGCACCTGCTCCTGACAGGACTCGGTGCCGGAGCGTCACGGACTGTGGAGCTCCCAGGGCCTCTCCCAGCTGTGCCTGTGCTGTAAATACTCCTTGGACAACTTTCAACAAGTGCTGATAGTTTTAAATTCAACAATGTTGTGTGGGAATGTTTGGTGCAGGTGGGGGGACCCTGCCCCCCCCCCGCTCACAGTTCTGCTTCTATGTGCAGCCCCTGTGGAGTGTGGTGTGTCTTGCAATATATATTTAATCCTATTTAAGGTAAAACCTGCTTTCAACTCGATTTCTTCTAACAATGGATCCAGTACTGAACTGCTTCCCTATGGATGATCACAGTTCCTTCTTCTGTAGACAACTGTAACTTGAGGTCACATGGAAAATGCTGCTCTTGATCATCTTTCCCTGCTGATGGCCCCAACTCCTGCTGTCTCTGTGGTGACAAAGGTGGTGGGAATTGCTCTGCTGGTGCACGCAGTTGCTAAAGGAACTTTCCTTTTTCCAGGTTTCTTAGCAGAAGACAAATTCAAAGTCTGATTATGCTAGAAGTAATAGAAAACAAATCTGTCGAGGTTAATGAAATGCCTGTTAGCTGTGAAGGAGCAGATCTTTTGTACGTGTTGTATTCCCCTATGGAATCATGGGGACTGGTGTAAGCCAGCACAGCCACGGGCGTGCCCAGCCTGGCCACCAGGGACCTTGGGCCAGGTGTGCTGTGAGTGGGGGAAGTCTGTATAATCGCTGATTTTAAATAAAGTTCTTTCCAAATGCAAGCTGTGTTCTCTTGAGGTTGGCAAAGTGAGGCTGTGCTGGCTGTTGAAATTCGGCTGCTTCACATCAAGCACAGGTTAACTGGCTGTTCACTGAGGATCCCCCGTGCCATGGGGCGTTCCCATCTCTCCTGTCCGGGCTGGGGCTGTGGGGGCTCCGGCCTCACCAGGGTGCTGCTCCCCATCTCCCCACAGGGGTTCAGCAGGGGCTGCTCCCCACCTGTTGTCTCTCTGGTCCCTGGGAATGCCGCAGAGGCCTCAGGGGTCTGACAGGTTCCTGCTGCTGCTGCAGGAGCTGTTTGAGGGCCTTGGGGACTGGAATGTTCAGGGTGGTTTGTACAAATTCCTTCTTCCAAGTTCAGTAGAAGTCTCGCTTCAGTGCAAGCAGCAGATGCAGGGGTGTATGTGGGGCTGTGCCTGTGCTGGCTCTTGGCCCTGGGCAGCCACAAGCTGGAGCGAGGCTGCACTGAGGGTCTCCAGAGAGGCCTCCTGGCCCCAGCCGTGCTCTGGCTCCATAGGCCCAAGTACAATGCAGCAAAGCACCGTGCTTCTTTCTTCTCAGAAACCTGCGAGAGCAACAGCCGGTTTATTTGCCCTGGTGAGACGGCAGTTCTCATTTGCAGGCACTGGCAGCTGAGTTGTTGCCAGTGCTAAGGGCCGTGTGAGGCGGGGCTGTATTTGCAGACATGGGCGGGTTCTTCAGCAGAGCTGAGCTGGCCGAGGTGATGTCATTAACCACTGTTACCTCAAATCTTGCGTTTTGTTTTCCTGTGAAGCCTTTTCGGGGCTGTCTGCACGACTCCAGTATCACAGCAGGGCTGGCACATGGTTTGCCTCCCCTGTGCCCTGCCAGGCCCTGCGGCCGCTCCGTGCCCGGGGTCACGGCTGCGGCTCCTTCCATGCGGCTCCAGGGAAACGCCGGGCCCTTTGGAATAACGTCCTGACAGAGCCGCCCCTGTGAGCGACACCGGCCGCTGGGGCCACAGGGCCGGACGCTGTCCGAGCACAGCCGTGCGCGGGCCACACACCCCAGGGCGGCCCCACAGGGCACAGCAGGGCCGCGGAGCCACAGGAACCGGACCGGGGGGCGGCGCGACCGGCGGCTCGCACAGAGACCCCCGGGAACGGGCGAGAGAGCGCGGCCCCACAGCCCCGGCCCACCACGGCGGCCCGGCCCCGCCCCACAGCACCGCCCCACACACGGCACCGCCCCGCAGCACCGCCCCACAGCACCGCCCCACACACGGCACGGCCCCACAGCACCGCCCCACACACGGCACGGCCCCACAGCACCGCCCCACACACGGCACCGCCCCGCAGCACCGCCCCGCAGCACCGCCCCACACACGGCACGGCCCCACACACGGCACGGCCCCACACACGGCACCGCCCCACACACGGCACCGCCCCACAGCACCGCCCCGCAGCACCGCCCCGCAGCACCGCCCCACACACAGCACGGCCCCACACACGGCACGGCCCCACAGCACCGCCCCACACACGGCACGGCCCCACACACAGCACGGCCCCACAGCACCGCCCCACACACGGCACCGCCCCGCAGCACCGCCCCACACACGGCACGGCCCCACACACGGCACGGCTCCACACACGGCACCGCCCCACACACGGCACCGCCCCACAGCACCGCCCCACACACGGCACCGCCCCACAGCACCGCCCCACACACGGCACCGCCCCACACACGGCACCGCCCCGCACACGGCACCGCCCCACACACGGCACCGCCCCGCACACGGCACCGCCCCACACACGGCACCGCCCCGCACACGGCACCGCCCCACACACGGCACCGCCCCGCAGCCCCACAGCGCCACAATCCCACAGCGCCACAGCCCCACCCCTCAGCCCCACAGCGCCACAATCCCACAGCGCCGCCCCGCGGCCCCTCTGAGCTCCGGCCGGAGCCGCGCGGGGGCTGCGGGAGGGCCGGGCCCTGCTGACCAAACCCTACAGGAGCAGAGCAGAGCAAAGCAAGGTTTTCTGACAGCACGTGTTCAATTTTTGCTTCATCTTCTATTTTCAGCAGATTTACTAAAGGGATTCTCCTTTTGGAGCAAGCGCCTCTGCAGCCCCTGTGCGAGGGTGTGCCCCTGGGCTTGGCACAGCCCCACCCCTCGGGGGAAGCAGAGCACGGCCCTGCCCGGGCCCCAGGAAGGTTGAGGGGCTCGGGACTATCCTCACAGGCTCGGTGCCCCTCTGCTCCCGGCAGCAGAACTCTGCTTCAGTCACGGTTCAAACACGGGGCAAATGGACAGGTACAGTGTTCCCTCCATTAAAGTTTTAATCAACTACTTACCTGAGGGACTCCTATTCGGAGAAGTCCCCAAAATTGTCCCTTTTTACTTCTTTAACAGCATCCTCCTCACGGTGGATCCTCACTGATCGCACTGCAGGGGGAACACGTGGAGCTCCCACAATACTGCTCTGTGTAAGCCCTCACTGCACCGAGGACTCCCAGGCGTGCTCCCAGCAGGCAGAGAGCACCCACCCACACCTGCTGGGAAGATCATTTTGGTGTTACTTCAGCAAGAACTTTTTCATACACATACAGCTCACTGGAGCTGCGCTGAGCTGATCCTTACCAGGAAGGGCACGCAGCTGCTCCCAGGACACAGACGCTTCTCTGAAATCTGAAGGCACGAAAACTTGCAGTTCCCAATGTTGCTTCTGGTTTACCTTATACAAAAACCTGAACAGAGTTAGACACACACAAGGCTCAGGTACTGAAGCGGAGCTTCACAGCAGTGACCAGCAGGCCCAGGTGTTAATTTACAGCTATTACTGCAAACCCAAACCCAAGAGGGCCACTGACAGCTGATGCTTCTCCTTGAAGAGAAGGCACCAGTCTGTTGCAAAAGCAGCAGTGGTAACCCTGGCA